GTCATATTAATTGGCTATTATTTAATGAGATATTTGTAAAAGTTTTAAGAGAAATGTATTTTATAATTTTATTAAAAAATTATTTTTCTATAAATTAATTAATTTTCACTTCAATATTTTTAAAGATTTAATGGTGATACATTTAAAGTGCAGATTTTACAAAATCATTTAATCACAGTTCACTATAAATTATAAGATTATTAACTATTATTATAATTATTTTAAAAATTATTTTTTATTAGTTGATTATATAATTATTTTATAGTGCATGTTCATTGAACTCTATTTTTAATTTTAATATTTTACTCATAATTAAATCTTTTCTCTACGATATATATATGAATGCTGGTCAGCATATTAATTTCTTGTAACTAACAATTAGTTGATTTGACATGTTTTTCTATCTCACCTATTCCAATTATTCTGATTCCGTCTTTAGTCCGTATAACAACTACTAGTAGTAACTCTTTTAATATTAATGCTTATGAAAAGAAAAAATGAAAATTCTAAATGTATATATAGATTTGTACACAAAATTTAGTAAATAGAGTAGTGTCTCACAAAAAATGTGTGGAAGACACTCCAACCATCTTTTCTTACATTTTTATTTTGGTTTGAGTGGTATAGCTCATTATTAATTATCTTCATAATTGGTGAAATAAATTTTCACTGGAAGCAAAGATATTGTTTCCAGCTACTTATCTACTATCGTGCTTCAAATTTAATTTCTTTTTCAACTGTACATATCCTAACATAAATACCAGTGAATGCATCCAAGCATGTTCACACGATTAATTATATATTTATCTAATACTAATACTTTTAAGCTCATGCTTTCCTTAATTATGTTATATTTTAAAAAAATATCATATATATGTAATATATTTCATATGATATGATTATATGTATTGTAAAATTCATAATTAATGACATAGTAATGTTTTTAAATGTGTATTTTAATGCGATGCACTGTTTTTATTATTATTAATTTTAAAATATAACTATATAAAACTAAACGATTACCATGAGTGAGAAAATTAAGAGTTGTTTACAGTTCACTTAGATGAGAACGTTAATGTGCCCTAATAATAAATAAATAAGAGTGTCGTACTTGAACGGAGCATTTCCTGGAAATTTCATCCACACACAGGTAAATATTAAAGAAGTAGTAAATACGAAAATTGATATCGAATTAAAGAGGTGCTGACAACTTTTCCTAAAATAATTCATGTTGATTAAGAGCTATGGGTCCTCAGCTTTTATTTCCACCAATGTCATTCTTACGCCCTAAATTAATACACCTCTTTAGTCTTCTTTATTATATTATTATTATATGTATAGGAAAATACTTCAAACAAACCTCATTATTTTTGTTTTCCTTTTTATACATTTACAAACTAAAAACTAAAGTAGAGATTGAATTATATTATTGATAAAAGAAAGTGTAGAGATTGAATCCGCAATAAAGTCATGATTTTAATTGGTTTAGTTGCTTACATTTATATATATGGTTGAATAATGACGGAAACAAATATGTTCATATATACTGGATATTGAAGGAATATTATATGATATCTCCAAAATAATTTATTCAAGTAGATAATCCTGCATGTTGTATGGTCTGCTACATACTTAACAATAAAAAGATAATTTATCTGTCATCATTTCTTAGTTCCTTATATATAATACACTTTGTGTATATATTTTTAAAGACTTTGATTTTTATGAAAACTGCATACTTTTTATTTTATTTTATAATTTAGTAATGTCATTTTGCTTAATAAATTGCACACTTCACATCATTTTGTAACTCTCGTACATTCTGCATCACATTAACATGACTCATTGTGCCGTATTTTTGCTACTTAAAGAATAATGAGTGTAAAAAAATTAATGTACAAATGCTTATTCTCTTTAACACATAATAAAGAAAAAGTTTAATAAATAAATAGTATATATATATATACTACAAGAAAATTGACTTATAATGATAAATAAACTATCACTAAAAATTGAAAATTTGCAGCTAAATAACTATTTTATATTAATTTAAAAATAAAAATAATATTATATTATTTATTATGTGAGGTGTATAGCAATGATATTTTGAATTTAATGTACAATAAGTACAATAAATAACTATAAGTATAAATATTTAAATTTTACCTATATTAAATATTTATAAATTGAATAATTTTTGGTTTTATCCAAATGTATTATGTCTATAAGAACAAAACATATGTAAGTATAAGCATCATTTGTCTTACGGTGATAATGAAAACCTAATAATAATTTTTATATTTAAATATATTTTTAGTCTTTTAAATTTAAAATAAATTTATTTTTGATTCTTCATATTTAAAACTGTCATTTTTAGTTCTTATAATTTTTAAAAATATTTTTTTAATTCTTAGAGTTACCAATAAATATATGAAAATAACAGATTGAGATATTTATGTAATATCATAATTTAATGTGATGTTTTCACTCAAAATAATACTAATATGTAAATTTTTATGTGACAATATTTGACAAATTTTCTAATAAAATTTGAGTATAAGAACTAAAACAATATTTTTTGAAATTAAATGACTAAAAGAATTATTTTTAAATTTAAGAAACTAAAAATAAATTTATTTTAAATTTAAAAGACTAAAAATATATTTAAATTTAATTTTTATAATGTTATTTAATAACAAACGGTTATATATGATAGTTTTTTTTATAATAACTATTTTGATAATTATATGAATGATATTAATTGATGGTATACCTTTCTATTTTTTAACCTCAAGCGTGTGGTTCAGTGGTAGGGGTTGATCCACACTTAATTAGTCACTGCTATCGACTCCAAGGACGAACAAAAAAAAAAAAAATCTTTCTATTTTTTACACTCACTATACATGAAAACTAAACAAAAACAATTTGGTCGCAGAGAAAATAGCAAAATGACATAGTTGTAAACAACAAACTGTGGCTTGAACTATTACTAATCGACCTTCATGTTAATTGATAAAATCGCTACAATTATCACTACGTAAGGTATAACATCGGATTATTTTTTTTTGGAAAGTTAGGTTTTTCATTTTACCATTAACTTTTTTTAGAATTTAGAAAATTATTTCTAGGAATTTAATATTTTTTTTTAATTTTTAAGGTAAGAAGAATGTCAATAACACTCAAATATTTTATTTCTAATACTCTTTATTATTGAATAAAATTTATTAAAAATCACAAATTTATATGTCTTACATTTTATTTAGCAAGCCTATTAATTTAGTATTGAGACCCATCAAAATATAATTTTCAACAAATTTCAATTAATAATAAAAATAATTTTAAAAAGAGTATGTATTACTCGTATTTTTTTTTTCTTTAAGACAGTTTTAGAATAATAGGAAGATACAAAGTAATTCAATTACTAGCATCAAAATATAACAATAAAAACTTTGGAACGAAATTTTTGATTTTTGGAGATTTTAGCTTTTTGAATTGGACTTTTGAACCTTATACACAAAGTTTAGGTAGCAATAAAAGATTTTAATTTTATTATATCATATTGGAATATTTCATCATTATTTAGTTGTGTGGCTGGTTTTAATTTGGGCCAAACCCCACCCAAATGCATTAGTTTCAACCCAGTTCGTTTCGTTTTGAATTGTACAACCCACTACACATTTTCGGACTCATGTTGCTCCACTTTTGGGCCCTATTCGACGAACCCATTTGCATTTTGGGTTTGCATCCTTTTTTAGCTCATCCAACGGCTAGTTTAATTTCCTGTTATTGTTGTTCAATTGGGTGAATTATAACCTAATTATTAGAAATTCTGGTGGATTTAATTTCTCTATGAAATTAGTTGAATTTTATTTAATGAAATAATGGATTGATGATGTTGTGTTGGACATGGAAAATATTAATGCTATGTATATCTCCCACTAGAGAGACAAAGGAAACATCTCTGTTTTCTCTCACGGGCAAAAGGATCCAAATAATCCCAAATTTTTGAACTGTACTGAATTATTTGAGTAAATCTGTGCAGATTGCAACTGATTGACAATAAGATTATATGCTGATTTTGCTGTAAAAGTTGCTATTTCCTAGAGTACTATCCTTGCTGTAAAATTTTCTTTGTTTCTGTGTCTCTACCAAAAAGTAATTGAAGTTAGACTTATCTCCCACTAGAGAGACAAAGGAAACATCTTTGTTTTCTCTCACGGGCAAAGGATTCAAATAATCCCAAATTAACACTCATTTTTCAGCAATTTTCAATTTTAAGTACAAGAATATGTCAACAGCTGATGAACATGAACATGAGCACACTGACATTTGAAACGTAAAGATTCTCAGTACAAGAAATAGTAACATCCCAAAAAAACCATAACCAGAAACACATCACATCCTATCTCACAACTCAAATTTAATACAACAAAACCCTCATAAAGAAAATTCATTCCCATCTCAAATAACCATACAAGCTTCAATTCAATTCCTCGTTACATATATCACTGTTTAACATAAAAAAAATTAAATGTTAATTATTACGATATTCTATAATATGTATGAGGTGTAGAAAAAAATCAAAAGTTAACTGAAAATGTTAATTGTTATGACATTCTATATGTATGAGGTGCTTAATATCTTGATGGGTATTTGTTCAGGGAGCAACATCAATCAACAACATCAATTAGACAATTATTAGATAGGTAAATTGTTTAAAAATATCTAATTTCTTTTATTGATTATCATTACATTTGACTTTACACTAATCATAATGTAATTTTATCATTAGGGCCATGGAAGGATATCATATACTTTAAGGGTTCAAAGATGAAGAAAAAAATGAGTTGGGTCTCTCCTAAAGTAAGATTTTAATTCTAGCAATGATATTTTTTTTAAGTAATTTAGTAATTTTTTTTAATTACTATTCTATTGAAATTGATTTTATATTCTTTTTGTAGTCTCATAAACAAAAAGGAAATTATGAGTGCGGATACTATGTAATGAAGACAATGCATACTATTGTCGATTCACAAATAGTATCTGGGTGGACTGAAGTAAGTTTTACAATTTTGAAAGTTTTTGTTTTAAGTTCTCATTCTATATATTTTATGAATTATTACTAATTATTTTAATTTTTCTTAACAGATATTTATAGATCGATCACCATTGCCGCTAGAAGACATAAACATCATTAGGGAGCAATGGGCCACATTTTTTATTGACCATTACTTTAACTAGTTTGGGCTTATGTTTTATAGTATTGCTTTAACTAGTTAGAACTTACATTTCATTGAGCAATGTAGTCCATTTATGTATTAGATGTATTTAAAACTATTCAATTATATATATATGATTAACATTTATCATCTTGTCATTTGTATGCGATTTGTGCTTCATTGAGAAAATATTTTGAACTGTCTGGTTTTTCTGCAGGTTTTTTGTTCTGAGGTGCTCCCAAAACAAGTCAAACATACAAAAAAAAATCACTACTTTTAAGATCGGTTATGCCATAACCGATTTTAAAAGTAGACTTTTAAAATCGGTTGTTACATAACCGATTTTAAAAGTCTTGACTTTTAAGATCGGTTATAAAACAACCGATTTTAAAAGTAGACTTTTAAGATCGGTTGTTTTATAATCGATTTTAAAAAGTCAAGACTTTTAAGATTGGTTATAAATCAACCGATCTTAAAAGTCTACTTTTAAAATCGGTTAATAACCGATTTTAAAAGTCTACCTTTTCAAAATTGGTTCTTTTAAAATCGGTTCCATAACCGATTTTAAGTCTAAATAACCGATTTTAAAAACGTTTTTTCCACTAGTGTTGAATTGAAAGTTGGTGATTTTATGAGTATTTGTTGGGATTGAATTGAACTGAGCTCGAAATTTAGATGTTTAAATCCTGTAGCAAATTGTTGATTGAGATGTATTATTTCTAAATCTAGAAATATTGTCATATCTAAGATGATTATATTTTGTTATTGACGTTGTATGAAGCTTGACAAATTTACATAATCATAATGTACAAGTCAACCCTTTCAATTTAAAACTCTCATTCATACTTGAACTCCAATGTTGCAAACCTTTGATAACCTTAGGGTAAGAATCCAACATTTACCTGCAAACGAGAAATGCAAATCATTGAATTGAGAGAAAAAAGATTTGAGAAGACGCCAATGAATTTGATAAAGTCATGTTTATATCTCTTAAAGTAACTTTATCCAAAAGTGTAAACCCAATGAATTCAATGTTATGAACCCATGCAATTAGGAGAGAAATTCATCTTAATAAGTTGATTGATTTAATTTGTGGCTAACCTTTGCATTCATTGATGACATAGAAATGGGCGTTGACCTAGGAGTTAGGTAGCTATAACCTAGTTAAAGTTTTGTAACGAAGGTTATGACTTTTAAGGAAACTAACGCACAATATCCTACAAGTGACCAATGGTCGTGTTAAAGATGAAAAATAAATATATTGTACTTGCAAGTATTTGTAATTAAAATATGTAACGAATCATAAATGAATAATTTAAATGAATATTCATGTGAAATGAGTATAAATATTTTTCTATCTATTTATAAAGGATAGGATATACATATGATAGATATTTGATAAATAAAATTATTTAAATATTTATATTTATATTTTATATTTTTATATTATTTTTAATATTAAAAAAATAAAATTAATATTAATTATTTATTTTTAATATTTTAATATAATTAACATCAAATACAAGTTTAAAATTACTAGTAACATTTTCTTTTAAATTTTTCAGTTTAAAAAAATTAAAAATATTAATAAATATCCATAAATAACAAGTATTTATAAAATTTACAAATATTTGCTTAATAAATATCCATGCGCATATAAAATAAATACGAGATAATTTTATATTTGTCGGAATATGGACAAATAACCTACTAGGTGCCCCCACATGTCCCATTGTCATCATAGTCAATGTGTTCCCATGTTGTGGTCAACGCAGATAACGCATTGACAATCTTGATGACCCAATATGATTATGCCACGATAAGTGTAGTGTACAGTTGCATGGTTAGTAATCAATTGAGTGGGGTTCCTTTTGTTGGATAAATATTTTTATCGGTACTTAAACTTTGAATTAAAAACAATCTTTTTAGTTGGTTTGTATTTTGATTTTTGATTTTTATTTGACCAAGTCATTTTTATTTTCCAATTGTAGTTTTATTTATTGTTGGCTGCAGAACTAGGAGTTTTTAAGATTCATATTTACTCGATCTTTGGTGGCCACACATTGCCACTGCGAGTGTTACACTTACTGGTACCCTTCGAGACCTTGACTGGATTAAGATTATTCTTTCAAATTATTTTTAATAAATTCAAGACTCGAACTTGAGATTTTTTAACTTAAGAACCAATAGTAGTACCAGTTAAACCAACGAATGTTGATTGATCTATATATATATATATATATATATTATTATACCTTTAAAAAAAATTTCAAAAAGAGATCAATTTTGAAATCGTCTTTCTTTCGTTAAAAAATATGTTGTTACTAAAAATAGTTTGATGTATTGGTACTCATTGGTTTGGGGATCTCTTGTCTCAATACATTAATCCAATGAGTTTATTATCTTGAAAGACAAGTTTATCAATTTAAAGTACCAATGCAAAAATTCGTTTAAAAAAATGAGATATTTTGTCTTGCTTGCTTCTTTTGACTCTTTTAAGTTGTTCTTCTTGCAAGTGTTCTCAATTTTTTGATCATATTCTAGTTTACTTTCCAAAATTTTATAAGTCATACACATAACATGTATAATAGAGAAGAAGTGAGATATAATATTGGAAATTTCAAATTTGCTTAAAAAAATTGTAGGAAATCAAACCCAAAATAGCACAAATTAGAATAGCCTAAGTATTAAGATGCAAGTCCTCGACAAGGATCGACACCATTACCTTTTTAATTGAGATTTTGATAGGCATACTAATTTTTGCAAGTAGTAAATTAATTAGATTTAAGTGTAAGTATCGTATTCATAGAGACTTTTACAATACTTGCTCAATTTCAATATAGTGCCAATTAGGAAAAGATTTGTTTAGAAGTTGATTGCATAAAATTAAATTGCCTTTGAATTTAAGAAAACAATAAAATTGTATTTTTAGGGTTTCTAATTTTAGAAAAATAGAGTAATAATTGTTGTAATTTGATGTTAAAAATGTTAAGATTGATTTTAGTAACCCTTCTCACATGTAATGTACCCTCCAATTGCAAATTAAATTCTTAATTTATGTTAATTAAGCAACCAATAATTATATTTTAACCTTAATTTCTTATGTGAGAAATTTTAAATATCTTAATTAAAATATCAATTTCTTGACAAAGTTAATTAAAAGATTTGCATTAAGATTTGAGGTTCTCAAGTTGGCTATATAATAAACCTTGCATTATTCCTAGTAATAATTTTTTATTAGGGTTCTTTTTCAGATCATGATTTTAAAAGTGTTTTCCAAACTGCAATTAATTAATTCCATAAGTTCATATTAAGAATGAGAAGAAGAAAATTAATTATCTCAATTAAAAACTTAATATACAAATTTGGAAGAGTACATGGAGTAGAGTTAGTTACATCAATATCCAATATACAAGTGAATTAGTCTCTCATGACTAATCTATGATACAAGAATATTTAAAGATAAGATCCTTGGGAGAGTCCATGAAAAGGTTTTTCTTCTCTCGTTCCCTCCCGTTTTCACATGTAATACACTTTGTAAATAATGAATGAGTTTCTCTTTTAGACCTTTTATATGACTCCATTATTGGGCCTATATATTAGCATCAATCACATAAATGAATAATATATATGGTTCAGTTAAGTGAGCATTTGAAAAATCAAAGGTGGACTCTTTAACAACAATCAAGATGGCTTGCTTAAGCGAGTCTTCAACTTGTCACTCGCTTAAGCAGCCAATGTGATTTTCCTAAGCCAGCCTTCAATGCTCAATGGAGTGTGTTGTCTACCAATCTTGATTTAAAAGACCAAGATGGTTCACTTAAGCAAGGCTTCCCATCTAAGGATCCTTCTTCTTTCACTAGTAGAAAATAAGCATATTACGTCACCCCTTTTACGTCGGAAATACGAAAATCCGACGTAAAAAAAATGCGGTGGCATTTTTGTAATTTTTGCGAACTTTTTTACGTCGCACCTGGTAAGGTCCGACGTAAAAAGTCCAATCTACGTCGCACCTGGGAAGGTCAGACGTAAAAAGTCCAATTTACGTCGCACCCTACCAGGTCCGACGTAAAAAAGACGCAAATTTGAATAAGAGAGCGCGAGGCACACCGCGCGCATTCACTTTTCATCACTTTTCATTTTTTTCTCTGTAAACCCTCTCCCTCTTCTTTGTTACTGAATCGTTTTCTTGTTTTTTGCAGAGGGATGAACTCTTTGTTACTCATTTGCACATTGTTGCTGCTCCTCAGGTATGAAACAAGGTTTCGTTAGCACTTTTCTACTTAGCATTGCTACTCTGGTTATCTATTTTATTCGATTTTTTGGTTGTTTTATTTGTGTAGGTAGTGGACGTTTTTGTTGTTGTTATTCTACGAAGCAGAATGGCTTGTTCTGCAAGCAGAACGGCCCGTTCTGCCTGCGTTCTTAAGTTTTTTTTTTTTGTTTTTTTACGACTTTTTTACGTTGGGTTTCGTAATTTTCGACGTAAATTTACGTCGGATTTGAAGCCCCGACGTAAAATTTACGTCTCCCGCTTCTACGTCGGTACGTTTTCTGACGTAAAAAGCCTAAAATATCCGACGTAGTACACTTCTTTTGTACTAGTGTTTGGCTTGACTACTCTCATTTCTAGATCAATACCTTATCTATTCTTGCTCTTGTTGAATCTTAAACATAAAAATATCAAAAATATCTAATAAAAATTCTATAAATACAAATTTATTTACCTTTAATTTATTAATTAGTTAAGGTAAATATGACGCTGAAACATATGTATGATATATTTAATAATTATCTTGTATGCCTCTAATTTATATACATAAATTGTAATTATTATGTACCTTTCAACAATAAAAGCTTCTTAACGACACAAATTCTTCACATACCCTATCAAGATCTTCATGTATCGCTTAATAGGGTACATTCACCTCATATATAAACTGACCCACACAATCGAATCTCTAGTACTAGATGAACGATCAAGTGAATCATAATTTCAAACAATATGAAGAAGGAAAATATATTTTCAATTGGCACAAGATCACATCCACCTCTTTTTCCAACTCATACAACTTTTGAGACTCAATGACATTGCTACATATAGCATTGAAGAATAAACACATGAGATTAATAATATGCATAACATTAATTGGAAAGG